AACTCAAAGAGATCATTTTGCCTCTGCCTCCTGAGTGCTAGGATTAAATTACAGGTGTGCACCACCATGCCTGGCTATGCCCAGTTTTTTTGTCTCTTAATTCTGTGGGAAATGTAAAGAAAATGTGCCATCTTTTCTAGCAAAGGGTTAAATAAGACAAAATTCTATTTTTAAAAAGTATGAAGAAGCCACTTGGCAGAAATTCAAATTCCTCCAAGGTCATCATTTCTTGAACCAAATATGTGACCAGAATTGTGTCTTCTTTTCAAAATTTTCACTTTGCTTATCAGCTACACTGTTCTAAGTCAGCCAATGGCATAAGTGTTCAAGGCCAACCTCTGGACCACTTTGCATTAGGGAAAAAAATTCCAGAGGGACCTCTGCTGAATGTGCTTGCCTGCTTGATTTGACATGGACACATATCCTTCTGTAGAAGTAAAACATTCTTAATTTTATCATTATATGTGTACGGGTATCTTGTATGCATTACATGAGTGCCTGGTGCCCTAAGAGGCCACGAGTTACAGGCGGGAAGTAACAGGAGGTTGAGAACCATGGTGTGGTACTGGGAATCAAACCTAGGTCCTCTGGAAGAGCAGCTCTTAATTGCTGAGCCATCTTTTCAGACCCCAGAAGTAAACTTTTTGCATCATGTGGTCATTTTCTTGGGACTCCAGACTCATTTCTATCAAGTTTCAGGTTTCCCAGTGATGTCTTTGCCTATGTGAGCAAATAAGCAGGCAGCCTCGGAGTTGTCAAGCTGTCCTTGCCTCTACTCCTGCATGCCCCTGAGCCCAAACAGCCAGGTCTCAGATGCATCTGAGTCCTGAAATGAGCCAGGCAGCTCTCTCAGCAAAACTGGAGTCCTCGCTCCTTCAGGGCAACATCTGTCCAGCCTCAGAGCTTGGGTGCCATGCTCAGCTCTTTGTATCACCAAGCTGGGAGCCCCTTCGGTGGATGTCTCTCCCAGCTTCTAAGTTACTCCTCCTGGTTGACAGCCATAGCTTTCGGGAGATGAGAACTCCACCCCAGGTGAAGGGAACTGATGACAGCTGGCTCCTGATCTGGATAGAAGCAGAACATCTGCCAGATGTCACACTCTGAGTCTG